GTGTGCCACCACATCTGGCTAATTTTTATTTTTTATTTTTTTGTAGTGATGGAGTTCTGCCATGTTGGCTAGGCTGGCCTTGAACTCCTAGTCTCAAGTGATCCTGCCACTTCAGCCTCCCAAAGTGCTGGGATCATGGGTGAAATCAGTATTTTCTAAGTATTTATTTCCAGCACCTCTTTTTCAAATAATATCTATTAACATCTTATAGAATTAATACTCCCTTGAACAAATCTGAGGAAACAATGTATTAGGTAATAGGGATGCAGCAGAGGTCTTGAAACAGTCAACTAACGTGACCAGACTTATTTTTAAGAGGGTAACTCCAAGGGTAGTAGAGAACAGTTTGGAGTGGGAAGATGTCCTAAGTGGAAAGCAGTCAACTTAGGAATGTGGTCAGATAGTGTGGTTAAGAGGTTACTGTGGCCTAAATACTGTAAGCACTGCAATTCAGAGGAAAGGCTGGAACAGTGAAATAATTCTGAGATTGAATTTGGAGAATACCTAGTTATGTGTAAGAAATAAAAAATGATTTCCAGGTTTCTGGCTTAGGAAAGAGGTTGCATGAAAATGCTGATAACTGGGAGTATAATAAGAAGAAAAGAACAGCAAATAAAGATACATTTAGTTCAAAGATGTGAAATCATGCATGTAATATGTTTTGGGAAGGCCAGGCAGGTGAGTAAATGGAAACACAGGTCTAATGTCCAGTAAATTCATGTAAGAAAGAGTGATTTGAGAGTAATTAAAATGTTGAGGGTAGTTATAGGAAAGACAGAAGTCAGTCAGGAAAGTAAGTACAGAGGGGGAAGAAAAGCATATCATAGATGGATCTTGGGGGAGAAGAGCATTTAAAAGGTAGTCAGAAAAAGAACAATTTGGGCATTAAAAATAATCAATGCGATTGCCTGAATCACACTGATTATTAAATCCCATGAGTTTATTATAGTAAAATAAGAAAAAGCAAAGCCAAAACACAAACACTCAACTCATTGGATACTACTCCTACTGGAAGTAACTAGGGCTCTGACATTAGAAACAGTTAAGAAAAGAATTATTTATTCTCTTTCTTGAATGAGCCTTATTTCAAGTAATTAAATCATCATAGTTGATGAGGGAAAGTTTGTTTGAGAAAATAACAGCTAATAAATGAGGAAGGAATAATAATAAAATTATGGTTGGGCATAGTGGCTCATGCCTGTAATCCCAACATTTTGGGAGGCGGAGGTGGGAGGATAGCTTGGGCCCAGGAGTTTGAGACCAGCCTGGCAACATAGTGAGATACCATCTGTACAAAAGATTAAAGAACTTGGGTGCACCTGTAGTCCTAGCTACTCGAGATGCTGAGGCAGGAGGATCGCTTTAGCCCAGGTGTTTGATGTTGCAGTGAGCTGTGATCATGCCACTGCACTCAGTATGGGAAACAGAGCAAGACCTCATCTCTAAAAAACACTTTTAAAAAAAGCAATTCATCACTTTTGAATTCCTTATAAAATAATCATTTCAAGTAATGATTATTAATGGATAGAACCATTAGTTAAAAGCCTGACAGGGAACTGTACAATGGAGGAGTCAGTTGCAACCACTGGAGCCCATCACTTAAAGTGGGGGCAACCAGGTATTGTAAGCATCCTGATGTAATAGGGACCACACAGTATTAGCTGTGAAATAATCTTGCTAAAAAGTTTAACCAGCTAATGTCAACCCACTTATAGACCTGAAAATCTGCCAGTTATTGAGCTCCATCTTTCCCCTAAACCCTATATAAGATTAGTGGTCTACTAGGTTTGGGGAGACTCTACACTTACCATAGCAAGGAATAAAATAAGCTTTATGCTTTTTGTTTCAGATATTGAGAGGGGGTCTCATTGTTTGACAAGATAAATCCAGAAAGCAGAGTTCTATAAAACAACTGTCTTGGTTTCTATGAATAAACAGAGGGTAAAAACAGGAATGGATTGTTCTATAGTAATAGACGTTTAAGAAGTACAACCAAATGGAATGTACAGACTTGATTTGGATGCAATTGTAAAGACACAATTTTGAAGAAAATCTGAAAAACTTGTTAAGGATTGATGATACCTGGGCAATATTACTAGCTTTATGTGGATGTGTAAGAAAACATCCATATTTTTAGCAAGGCAAACTGAATTAAGTAGATAAGAAATGATACATCTGGAATGCTTATAATACTTTAGTAAAGAAAAAAAGAATAAAGCAAATGACCAAATCTTGATAAATGTTGAATCTGGGATGACAGGTATATGTGTTTACTGAATTATTCTATTTTTGAGAATTCATATTTGAAAATTTTGTGTAACTAAAAAAAGAAAAACAGGAAGAGAAGAAATGCTCATGTAAAAGAGACCAAAAGGGGAATGGTTAGAGAGGTGGGAGAAGCAGATGAAAGTAGGAAAAACTAAGGAGGGAGTAGCCAACAGTGTCAAATACTCAGAGATACCTTTCTTTTTGTTTTTGATATGGAGTCTCGCTGTTGCCCAGGCTGGAGTGCAGTGGCAAGATCCTGGTTCACTGCAACCTCTGCCTCCTGGGTTCAAGCGATTCTCCTGCCTCAGCCTCCCGAGTAGCTGGTACTACAGGCACGTGCCACCGTGCCCAGCTAATTTTTTCTATTTTTTTTTAAGTAGAGATGGGTTTCACCAAATTGGTCAGGCTGATTTTGAACCCCTGACCTCGTGATCCACCTGCCTCAGCCTCCCAAAGGGCTGGGATTACAGGCATGAGCCACCGTACCCAGCCAGAGATACCTTTCTTAAGTGTCCCATCTAACATGGCTCCTGCTTTCTGCTCCTTCCCTCACACTATAGAGTATTCTGATTTATTATCCTTATATCTCCTATTACTATCTGAAACTATTTGTTTAGATATTAATTCCTTGTCTCCCTCACTAAAATATAAACTCTGAAGACCACCAAACACCTTTTCAGCCCTGTTCATACTACATCTCAAGTATGATTAGCAAGAACTCAAACATCTGTTAAATGAATTGTGTGAATGAATGGTACAGTCAGCCTTTTGACAACCTGCCACTGGTTTTAGCAACCAGAAGACCACTTATAGCCATAGTGAGAGCAGTTTCAGTAGAGTGATGGGGATGAATGACAAATAGGCAGTGGAATAAAAGCAGCCAAAAAAGTATTAACAGAAAGTATAGACTACTTTTTAAAGAGGCTTTGTGTTGAAAGGATGCAGGAAGATGGTACAGTAACTTGAAAGGAAGGCCAAGTCAAAGAAAGATTTAGTTTCTTCAACACAAGAGAGTGTTTGTTTGCTGAAAGGGAGGGATCAAAGTAGATGAAGTGATAAAGGTTCAGTGATGAAAGTTCAGTGAACATTCATTTACGTAGCACATCTTTTTAGACCTTTTTTATTGTGTAGAAGAATATAAAATGCCCCCCAAAACCCCAAACAGAAACACCCAAAGTACACACCTCAGTGATTTACCACAAATTGAATAGTCATCTGGCCAAGAAACATAACATTGTCAGAACCCCTTATTCAGTGCAACCACTTTCCTTATTTTGCCTCAGGCTTTTAACCATCTAAATATGAACCCTAAAAACTATGCCTTAGTTTTGCCTGCTTTGTAAACTTTACAAATAGAATCACACAGCACTTATTCTTTTGTGTTTGAACTTCCTTAGCTCCAAATTCTTGTGAGATTTATCTAAGTTGGTGCATGTAACTGCGGTTTGTTCATTTTCTTTGTTGTATGGCATACTACACCCATGGTCCAAGTCTTCAGCCTGTTTTTGTATGGCTCTCACATTAAGAATTGTTTCAAGTTTTTACAGGGTTTGAAAAAAATACAAAGAATATGTGACAGAGACTGTGTGTGGTCCACAGAACCTAAAACACATAAATAAAAATTCTACTGTATTCAACTGTACAAATGTAACATCATTTATTAATTCATTCTTCTGTTCATAATCAGGTTTCCACTTTTTGGCTATTACAAATAATGTTGCTATGAACGGCTTTGCACTTGTTTTTTGATGTGTGAGTAATCAGATTCTTTTAACATGGGTGCATGTCTAGGTGTGCAGATTAGTGGATGAGGGTATACATATATTTGTCTTTAGAAGGACAAAAATTGCTTTCTAAAATGGTTATATGAGTATTTATATTCCTTCTAGTTACGTATAAAAGTCGCCATTGCTTCACATCCCACCATTTTGTACTGTCAGTCTTTAAATTTTTAAAAATTCTGTTATGGGGCAGCAGTCTGGGCCAAAAATGATTCAGAATGCTCTTGTCAATCTTTTTAATTTTAGCCATTCTGGTGAGTATGCAGTGATAGTTCCTTGTGATTTTAATTTGCATTTTCTGATTAACAAGATTGAGTATTTTTTCATAAGTTTTTTGGCCATTGCATATCCTCTTCTGTCAGATCCCTTAGTCTCTTGCCCATGTTTTTATTGAGTTGGTTTTTTCTTACTCATTGGAGTTCTTGATAGATTGACAATGATTTTTTTTCCCCTCTTTTAGACAATGATTTTTATATATGGTGGAAGGTAGAATTTCTTTACCATTTTTTTTAAATTCTTTTTTTTTTTTTTTTTTGAGACAGTCTTGCTCTGTCACTTAGGCTAGAATGCAGTGGCACGATCTCGGCTCACTGCAACCTGTACCTCCCAGGTTCAAGTGATTCTCCTGACTCAGCCTCCCGAGTAGCTTGGATTACAGGCACCCACCACCCCACCTGGTTAATTTTTTTGTATTTTTAGTAGAGACGGGGTTTCACCATCTTAGCCAGGTTGCTCTTGAACTCCTGACCTCATGATCCACCTGCCTCGGCCTCCCAAAGTTCTAGGATTACAGGTGTAACCCACCGCACCAGGCCAATTTTTAATTCTTTTAAAGTAAATTCTTTTGAGAGACAGGGTCTTGCTCTATTACCCAGGCTGGACTGCAGTGGCATGATCATGCCTCACTGCAGCTTTGACCTCCTGGGCTCAAGTGAGTCTCCCATCTCAGCCTCCCAAGTAGCTAAGACTACAGGTGTGCACTACCCCACCCAGGTAATTTTTATATTCTTGAACTCATGACCTCAAGTGATATTCCCGCCTCAGCCTCCCAAAGTGCTGGTATTACAGGTGAGCCACCAATTCCTGCCTATTTTTTATATGAATATTAACTTTTCCAGAATGATTTATTAAGAAAAGGCTGTTCTTTCCCTACTGCTCTGAAATTCTCAATGGTCGAAAATTAAGTATCCATATATATAGATCTATTTCTGGGCTCTTTATTCTATTGTACAGATCTACTTTCTACACTTGTTTCAATGTCATATAATCTTAATTACTGTTATAATAAGACTTGATACCTGGTAAAGCAAGTCTTCCTATCTTGGTCTTCAAGAGTGTTTCAGCTATTTTTGGTCCTTTGTATTATCATATGAGAATCAGTTTATCAAGATCCACATTAAAAAGTTGTTTAGGATTTTTATGTGATTTGCATTGAAACTACAGTTTGTCATCCAGTACAGTAGCCACTAGCCACATAGGGCTACCGAGTACCTGAAATGCGGCCAATCCACACTGTAAGTGTAAAAATACACACTGAATTTCAAATGAGTATGAAAAAAATTATTTTACAATACCTCAATTATTTTTTAACATTGGTTACATGCTGAAATAACATCTTGGGTACTCTGGGTTAAATAAAATACTACGATTAACTTTGTTTCTTTTTACTTTTTTATTTTTTGAGGCGGAGTTTCTCTCGTCACCTAGGCTGGAGTGCAGTGGTGTGATCTCGGCTTACTGCAACCTCCGCCTCCCAGGTTCAAGTGATTCTCAAATTCAACTGTAATCCCAAGTAGCTGGGATTACAGGTGTGTGCCATGACGCCTGGCTAATTTTTGTATTTTTAGTAGAGACAGGGTTTCACCATGTTGGCCAAGCTGGCCTCGAGCTCCTGACCTCAGGTGATCCACCCACTTTGGCCTCCCAAAGTGCTGGGATTACAGGCGTGAGTCACCACACCCAGCCTCTTTTTACTTTTTTAAATGTAGCTACCAGAAAACTTAAAATTCTGTATGCGGTTCGCATTATATATATATATATATATTTTTTTTTTTGAAACAGGGTCTCGCTCTTCACTCTGTCGTTCAGGTTAGAGTGTAGTGGTGTGATCAGCGCTCACTGCAGCCTTGACCTCCCAGGCTCAAGTAATCCTCCCACCTCAGCCTCCAGAGTAGCTGGACCACTGGTATGTACCACCACATCTGGCTAATTTTTTAATTTTTGTAGAGATGGGTTTTTCCCATGTTGCCCAAGCTGGTCTCAAACTCCGAGGCTCAAGCAAACTGCCTACCTTGGCCTCCCAAAGTGCTGGGATTATAGGCATGAGCCACCATGCCTGGTTGGTTCACATTATATTTCAACTGATAACTTTACAACACTGGGCCTGTCATAACATGATCATGGTATATCCTTTCAAGTTATTTTGGTCTTTTAAAATGTCTTTAAATAATACTTTCTGGTTTTCTGTACAGAAGTCTTACACAACTTCTGCTAGATATATCATTAGGTATCTGATAATTTTTATATTGTTGTAAACAGTATCCTCTTTGAAAATTCTATTTAATTTTTATTTTTTTGAGATGGAATTTCACTCTTGTTGCCCAGGTTAGAGTACAATGATGCAATCTCAGATGACTGCAACCTCCGCCTCCCGGGTTCAAATGATTTTCCTGCCTCAGTCTCCCAAGTAGCTGGGATTACAGGCGTCTGCCACCACGCCTGGCTAATTTTTTTGTATTTTTAGTAGAGACAGGGTTTTGCTATGTTGGCCAGGCTGGTCTTGAATTCTGGACCTCAGGTGATCTGCCCACCTCGGCCTTCCAAAGCACTGGGCTTACAGGTGTGAGCCACTGTGCCTGGATAAAAATTCTATTTTCTATTACTAGTATAGAGACAAGAAATACATTTTTGTTGTATCCAATAACTTTGCTAAATTCTTATTAATTCCAAGAATTTACGTCATCACTGGATTTTCTTTTCTTTTTTCTGAGACAGGATTTCGCTCTGTCATTCAGGTTGGGGTACAGGGACATCATCTCAGCTCACTGCAGCCTCAACATCCTGGGCTCAAATGATCTCCCAGTCTTAGCCCCCATCCCCCACCTCACAAAGTAGCTGGGACTATAGGTGTTCACCACCATGCCTGGCTAATTTTTGCATTTTTTGTAGAGACAGGGTTTTGCTGTGTGGTACAGGTTGATGAATGGATCTTCTATGGATAGGGTCATGTTTTCTGAATAATAATAATTTTATTCTTTTTAAACTGTATGCTTTAATTTTTTGTTTGACTTATCATATTGGCTAGGACTTTCAGGAAAATGTAGACAGAAATGAAATAATGGGCATCCTGGACATATTACAAATCTCAAAAGTAAAGTTTTCAGTATTTCACTATTAACATGCCAACACTCTAAAATCTCATTTTTTAGTGTGAAGGATTTATTTTATTTTTTTGAGAGGGAGCCTCGCTCTATTGTCCAGGATGGAGTGCAGTGGTGTGATATTGGCTTACTGCAACCTCCACCTCCTGAGTTCAAGGGATTCTACTGTCTCAGCCTCCCAAGTAGCTGAGACTACAGGTGTGCACCACCATGCCTGGCTAAGTTTTATATTTGTAGTAGAGATGGGGTTTCACCATGTTGGTCAGGCTGGTCTTGAACTCCTGATCTCAAGTGATCCACCTGCCTCGGCCTCCCAAAGTGCTGAAATTACAGGCATGAGCCACAGTGCCCGGCTTGAAGCTTTTATGTTAAAATCTCATCAAGACATCTACATTAAGGGAGTACTTACTTAAGAATCATAGTCATTGTTTCTTTTCGATCTTTTCCTTGGAAAGGTAGTGTACCAGTAAGCATTTCAAACTATAGAAAGGCAAAAAAATCAGAAGTATTAGTCAATAAATATAAAATTTCAAGGTCAGAAGGTTAAAAAAAGCATCATCTTAATTATAACCAAATCTTCTAAAATTGCTACCTAATAAAACAAGTGCTTTCTATTTCTACCACATTTGTTACTGAACTTGATGATTCCTAAAACAACTGAGCTATACAGTTTAGTAAAAATTAATCACATTTTTTTTTTTTTTTGAGACGGAGTTTTGCTCGTTACCCAGGCTGAAGTGCAATGGCGCGATCTCGGCTCACTGCAACCTCTGCCTCCTGGGTTCTGGCAATTCTCCTGCCTCAGCCTCCTGAGTAGCTGGGATTACAGGTACA